TTTACAAAGAACTACATAAATGTGTTTGACCAAACTGAACAAAGTGTGTTATCTAAATTTGTAAACTGGCTTAAATATCATTCAGTATCTGAGCTGCATAAGAGAGCTGTAGATGTAGCTTTACGAAGTAAAAATGGACATTTAGACCTTTTCCTGCGTTTTCTTCTGGGTCTTTCAATGGAGTCCAATCACACTCTCTTACAAGAACTAGTGACACAGACAGGAAGCTGCAACTACAACAAAGAGGAAACAGTTGAGTTCATCAAACAGAAGATCAGGGAGAATCACTCTCCAGAGAGATCCATCAATCTCTTCCACTGTTTGAATGAACTGGGTGATGATTCACTGATGCAGGAGATCCAGGATTATCTGAGATCTGGACAAATAGGAGAAACCAAACTCTCCTCTTCACAGTGGTCAGCTCTGGTTTATGTGCTGCCGACATCAGAGCAGAAGATGGATGAGTTTAATCTAAAACAGTTTATTGGAGCCCAAAATACAGCAGATGAGGTTCTTCAGAAGCTGCTGCCTGTGATTAAAGAATCCAGATCAGTTCAGTAAGTCACACTGACAACACTCACTACACTGATAAAACATGATCACATTTAACACTTTAGCATGTACTTCCTTACCAAAGCAGTAAAAGGAAAACATTATATATATCATATATCATTTATACCAGTGTTTGCTGAACTGAGACTGAAGAGTGTCATTGTTCTCTACAGGTTGAGTTATTGTGGAGTCACAGATGAAGGTTGTGCTGCTCTGACTTCAGGTCTGAGATCAAACCCCTCACACCTGAGAGAACTGGATCTGACTGGAAATGAAATGGGAGTGTCTGGACTGAATCTGCTCTCTGATGGACTGAAGGATCTTCACTGTAGACTGGAGAAATTGAAGTAAGAATGTATACAAGTCCAGCATACTCCATTATTATCATCCCACTGTAAATAATGAATGATATACAAAAAAGTTAAAAGTAAAGTAAAAAAAAAGTGTAGTCAGATAACTGAAGACAATGTTTTCTTAAACTTAAAGGGTTAGTTCACCTAAAAATGAAAATTAACTTGTGTTTTACTTTACCCTCGAAGCATCCTAGGTGTATACGATTTCTTTCAGATGAATCCAGTTGGAGTTATATAAAAATTTGTCCTGGCTATTCCAAGCACTATCATTGCAGTCAGCGGGTGTTGCAGTTGAACAGTCCACAAGTCGTCAAATAAAGCGTGTGCATTCATAATAAAACGTGCCGCACACGGCTCCGGGGGGTGAATAAAGGCCTTCTGTAGTGAATGCATGTATTTTTGTAAGAAAAACATCCATATTTCAAACGTAATAAACACTTTTCTCACACTTCCGCTATCTGTAACACGCGGAAGACGTTCCGGCGGATGACGTAGGACGTCGGCATTGCGTGATTAGTGACGAATGCGGAGAGAGAACAAAACAAAACGCTGGTCACAAATTAGAAGTACAAACCGAGGATTTGCAAAGAAAAATGTTGGAGGATTTCGATATAAACCAAGAGGAGACTGGTTTTCCTTTGCTAAAGTAAGGAAACTTTGCTTCCTTTGCTCCTATAAACAAACTCACGATACTAGCATATCAGAGGCGCGCCCTGCGCATACGTCATCCGTCGGAACGGCTTCCGCATATGACAGATAACGGAAGTGAGAGAAAAGTGTTTATTACGTTTGAAATATGGATATTTTTCTTACAAAAACATGCATTCACCATAGAAGGCCTTTATTTACCCCCCGGAGCCGTGTGCGGCTAATTTTCATTTTTTGGGGAACTATCCCTTTAATTAGATTATCTTCAATGGGTATGACATCATTTTATTAACATGAATACATTTAGCAGATGCTATTATCCAAGGCATCTTGCATTACATTCACTGGAATTGAACCAATGATCCTGGTGTTGCTCATAGACCACGCTCTACTGTTTGAGTAACAGAATTGCTTTCTTTGCTACAGTATATAGATAATATGATGATATGACAACTGTTTTCATTTTATACAGATGTGTTGAGGATTTTGAGGTACTCTCATCAAAAAAAAAAAAAAGATTTTTAGATTTTAATGGTACCTGTACTGAAATGCCACGCTGAATTGTAGAAGTGGGTCTGAACCTTAGACTGGAGCTGTTAATAGTGTCGTGGATTAAGTCTCTCTCTCTGATTGTGAAGTTGCTGTTGATCTGAGCTGTAGATCCTGAACTGAGAGACTGAAGAGTGTCATTGTTCTCTACAGGTTGAGGGATTGTGGAGTCACAGATGAAGGTTGTGCTGCTCTGACTTCAGGTCTGAGATCAAACCCCTCACACCTGAGAGAACTAGATCTGACTGATAATAAACTAGGAGCGTCAGATGTAAAGCTGCTCTCTGATCTACTGAAGGATCCTCGCTGTAAACTGAAGATACTGAGGTAAGTTTGTATAAAATGTATCAACATCCTCCTCTGTTTTTCTCATATGGTGCATAATGATTGCTATACAAAAAAATGCTGTGAAATTAGTGATAGGAATGTTGCTTTTGTTCTTTAGATTCATTAGATTCTTTCCAACGTGTCTTACATTTACTTATTATTTTTAATAATAGAAAACATTATTGGATGAGGTGAAGATGATACAAGTATGTCCATAAAAATGTGTTAACCCTCTGGGGCGAAGACCGCACACAGTCTGTCAGGTTTTTAATTATAACAGTGAAAATAACTAAAAATACGCTGTCATTTTTGATCGTACAGATAAGAATAAGGCATCATTTGAAACTGCAGAGGGGTCTACTTTTATTTGTGTATAGTCATAATAACAACAAAACAATGTTTTTTTTTACAATAAAGAAAACAAACAGGGTGCGCTCTCTGCTGTCTCGATCTCTGTCATTTTCTTCACAGACCCATAAATAAAACAACCTGAATCTCAGCGAATACTTGACTCACAGACATGATAAATATACAGTGGGTACGGAAAGTATTCAGACCCCCTTAAATTTTTCACTCTTTGTTATTGTTACGGGGCTGACGAGACGTGAGACGTGCGGATCCATGTGCAAACTTTATTGTGGAGAAGACAGAGGCGTGGTCAAAACAGGCATGGGTCAGATAGAGGCAGACAGGTATATGGTGGGCAAAACACAAGAATAGTCCTAGGGCTAGCGCAGGTCGACGATCGGCAGACAGAATCAAAAAGGGGCAAGACAAAAGGGGTGAATCCAGGGAACCAGGCGAAGATCAGAAACCGAGAAGGCTAAGGCTAAGGCTAAGGCTAAGG